GTTGTCAGAATAATGACATGAACATCGCCACGATAGTGGCCCCATTGTCATCATGATTGATGGTATTATTGATACTATTATTATTATTATTATTATTATTATTATTATTATTATTATTATTATTGTTGTTATTATTATTATTACTATTATCATTATCATTATTATCATTATTATTATTATTATTATTATTATTATTATTATTATTATTGTTGTTGTTGTTATTATTATTATTACTATTATCATTATCATTATTATCATTATTATTCTTTTTACTATTATCGTTATCTTTAACATTATTGTTATTGTTACTGTTATTGTTATGTTATTGTTTTCGTTATTGATATTGCTATTGTTATCCTTATTGCTTTTTACTATTAATGTTATCACAACCTATGGTTCGTCGGTTTATCTCAGACGATTCCAAGTGCACCTGCAGAGGTGAATATTTCTCATGGTGAAGTAGAAGAAAGTGAAGATCAAGATGACCTGTGATTCCCGCTAAGGCCGAGGAAACCAATTGTGGCGGAGAAGTGCTTACCACATTTTGAGTATTTAAAAGCTTCATTATTTTTCTTGAGGATGTGAGCAACTCGCGGGCTTCTCTCTTGGCTGCAGCATTTCCTAGTCGTTAAGCCTCGCGTTATGATTTTCCGCTTTCTGTGATTGCTGCTCTTACTACTGGGTTTGTCAGGAACCAGTGGATTAGTTTTGATGTCATTTAACTGAAAGAGCACTTTAGACGTGTCTTTATAACGTTTTTTTTCTTTTAATGCGCCAACCTAACACTTCCCCGAGGAAAGCTCAGAATAGAATAATACGGTCTTTGGGGTTCTGAAATCAAGCATTTTTTCGAGATGGTAATCCCAGAGAAGTCGAGCCTTTTTGAGCTAACAAAACTCCAGGTATATACCCCTTTGAGAACTGTGATGTCAAGTATTTTATCCCGCCTTTTTATGCAACGATTTTTCCTGAGATAATTCATGATTGAGCTTTTTGCCATGGCTTAGGGCTTTAGTATACTGTACAGGTCTCAGCACTGTACAATAGTGTTATGAGGGCAATACACATGTATTATGTTGACAGACTTTTAACCTTTGTCTGTGTGCTAATGCCACAGTAGCCCCTATTCCTAGCTCCGAGCCTTCCAAAGGATACCGTACCTTTATTAAAAAATCATCACCACTGACATCAATATTATTATTATTATTATTATTATTATTATTATTATTATTATTATTATTATTATTATTATTATCATTATTATTATTATTATTATTATCATCATCATCATCATCATCATCATCATTACTATTATTATTATTATTATTATTATTATTATTATTATTATTATTATTATTATTATTATTATTATTATTATCATTATTATTATCATTATTGTTATTATTTTTTACTGTTATTGTTATAACCCTGAGAGCGGAGGTGCAGTCAATCCTTTTTGTGGATACAAAAATTGGACTCTAAACAAAGACGCAGAAAAAAGACTGGACGTCTTAGGAATGTGGTGTTTCAGGAAAAAAAATTAACTAGGATTTTTATAAATAGAGAAGAATACAAATAAAGAAGTGCTCAAACGTGGCAGTTTGTGAAAAACTTACAATCAGAACCATTCATAAACAGACGATTTGAGATTATTTGGCTCTATAAATAAATCAATACGAACTAGAGAAACTGCGGCTGTGTGGAAAGATAAAAAGAAACAAGAGCAAAGGAAGACGGAGAACACCCTACACAAATGGCCTGAACAATTTTGCAACAAATAGCACAATGAGGAGAGACACCGAGATGATCAGGAAGACAAACAAGAGGAAAGACTGAGGTACAACGATCGTCAATGTTTGCTTCGGACCGTATACCTAAATAAGAGGAACTGTGGTCACAATAATCATTTGCATATTTACTACCACTTCAAAATGAATTAAACAACTACAAAGAATGTTGGTGAGTTCAGAGACTTCCTGGGGTGCGCTGTGTTTGTACGAATGCTGTGTATGTGTTGCGCTGATTTAATACTGCGGTCGTTCAAAAAGTTTTGCCTCCTCTCCAATAATTTCTAAACTATTCAGATTCTATTCTAAACTTCTAAACTATTCAAGATATCTTCATGAAATTTGTACACAATTGTCATTCAATATGGTTACTCTCAAACTCCTAAAAACCCACCAGAATTATGCTATAATGTCACACCTTTATGCTATTGCTGTTTACATCTTAAAAGCTAGGGTACATTGTTCCCGAGAAAATGGCGTCCGGCAAGCCTATGAATGTACGCTTAAAGCAAAGAGCTGTTATTGAGTTCCTTACTGCAGAGGGAGCTGTACCCATTGATATTCTTAGGCGAATGAAGCTTGTCTATGGTGAAGCATGTGTAGAGGTAAGTACAGTTCGAAGATGGGCAAAGGAGTTCGCTGAAACCAGTCCAACAGAGACAGATTTGAATGACCAAGCTCGTTGTTGTCGTCCCATCTCTGCCAGTGATGTTCAACACACGAGTCGACAAACTCAAGATGCCTTGAAAAGTCTCAGATTTCAAGACACCTTACCGCACCCATCATACAGTCCAGACATTGCTCCATCTGACTTTTATCTTTTTCCTAAGTTGAAGGAGTACCTCAAAGGAAAACGTTATGCAGATGACGATGAAGTTCAACAAGATGTGCGTTGCTGGTTTAGAGGAAAACCACCGCATGCTACAACTTATTCGATGTTGGTGGATCTGCATCGACAAAGAAGGCGACTATGTCGAAAAGTAAAGGTACTGTCAAGTATAAGACATCCTAAGCTTTCATTTGGTGTGTAACGTTTGTAGGTAGCATCAGTAATAAAAAAAATTATGAACTTGGGGGCAAAACTTTTTGAACGACCCTGTAATTTCATTTTAGTACGATATTTCATTGTCTCCCAACACACAGGGTGATAAAAAAAACCTGTACAACTTTTTATCTGAATATCTTCCTCAAAAATTGCATCATTCATTCAAAAGGAATCTGTTTGACACGAAATCCACGAAGAAGAAACTTATTTTGAAAATGAAAATGGCTTAAAGAAAAAAAGCTTAAAAAAACAAACAAAGTTCACCTCTTTGAAAAAAAAACCTTGTAAAGGAAGTCGTGATAAGATTGTTTGATTTTTTTCTATATTTTCTGTCTGGCATTTAATTTTCCATCCCTGTAACATTTAAACAATATTTAATTTCTTTCCCAAAGTTTAAAAATTAACGATTTAATTCTGAAATTCTTAGAAGCAGTGCTCTTACATGACCTCTTTTAATCTCGACCCAATTTTAACGCGTCTTTCGAAATGTTCAATGGTGCCCAAACACATTGACCGGCTAAACCATAAGTATTTAAAGCCACAAACATTGTACATACTCAGTATGAGGTGGATTCTAGAGACAATAGGGAATGGGGAGCCCAATAGACAACAATTTTGGAGTCATCGAGGAAATGATCCCGCTTTTCAAGACATTCAAGGAACCATGCCATGCTTTGATCCATGTCATCTGGACCTAGGGAAGATGAAAATGGTACCGTCGTAAATTAAGAGCAGCCCTGAGAATGCAGACTGTTGAGGTGTAGGAAAGTCCTAGTTGCAGATCGTTTACGGATAGACGTCTCATGGGACTCGACTACTGCTAGCTAACTTACCAAATAGATCTCTTCACAAGTTACAACGTTTTCAAAATCATGCTGCTTGGCTTGTACTAGAGAAAAAGAAGAGGGGCCACATTACGCTCATGTTAAGAACGTTGCATTGGCTTCCCGTGTCAGCTAGAATGTCATATAAAATTGCATTATGTCATAAATGTGTCAATAACAAAGCTCCCTCATATCTTAGAGATCTCATCCAGATTTATATTCCATCTAGATCACTAAGATCAGGCAATCAGTATCTTTTAAGAGTTCCTAGAAAAGGCGGCAAAAAAATTAGCTGAAAGATCGTTCGCCCACCTTGCTCCGTCAGTTTGGAACTCTCTTCCCCAACCCTTGAGACATACGACATCTGAGTCTAAATTTTTTAAAATCTTTAAAGACACATTTAATGACATCCTTTTTAAGTCGGTAGATTCATGTTCAATACAATGTTATGTAAATGTCTATGTATCCATTTATGTATTTTGTGAATTGCAGTGTATATATTATTTTATGCTCATTTCGTGACGATGTGTAATCGTGTGCGTGTGATAAGCAAGTAGATGTGTGTACGTGTGTGTGTGTGTGTATGTGTGTGTGTGTGTGAGTGTGTGTGTGTGTGTGTTTGGCATACTTGTGTGTGCACATGTGTGCGTGTTATGTGTTCGTGAGTGTGTATGCGTGTGTTTGTGTGCGTATGTGTATATGTGTGTGTTTATGTATATATGAGTGTGTGGATTTGTGTGTGTGTGTGTGTGTGTGTGTGTGTGTGTGTGTGTGTGTGTGTGTGTCGCGTGCATGAATATTTTTCTTACATGCTTTTATGTAAAGCGCCTAGAGCTGTGTTTACACGGGAGTGGGCGCTATAGAAATGATCTTCATTATTATTATTATTGAAATCCGCTCCTTGGTGACGTTTAAATGGCTACGCAAGGTGCGTGATCGACCTGAAGTGGTCATTTTTTAGGACATATTTAGTTCTGATTTACTATAGGTCCAAACTGACGAAAACTTCTCTACTCATGACACAAAAGGTCTTGAGGACACCTAAACATTCTTTCCATGCCGTGCGCAGATCTTACGAAATGTTAGGGATGATGAGTTTGTGGAGAGGTAAAAATGCTCAATACAAAAATTCCCTGCTCTTTACTAAACTTAACCATGATCTCAGCAGGCAAACAAAATTTGAGAAAAATTATATCTCTAGATGTCTGTTGACTTGTTAGACTGCTGTAGCTTGCAATATTGGCACGATTGTTGCAACTTTTAGCGGTAGGCCTAATGCAAACTGGTGCGTCATGCTAGGAAAATGGGGACAAGGCTGAAAATGGGTTGTTTTTTTAAATGCAC